CCAGCAAAAGTAGGACACAGGGAGTAAAAAATTCGTCTCTGTAGATCCCCTGCATCCTGTTAGCCATTAGTAACCTCACGCTTATAGTTCAGCCAGTAACTTCAAAGAACTGCCCCCTTGCCCCTTCATCCAGTCCCGAGATATGTAACCCTCTGCACGTAAACCTTTCCTATATAAACCCCTTGAAGTGAGTGCTGGGGGCCGTCCTCCTCCACCCGCTGTGTAGAGTGTAGGACTCGGACCAAGCCCGGGCTTTCTTTGCTATTAATAAACCCCTGTGTGCTTGCATCGGATATCCGCTCTGTGGTGGTCTTGCTTGGGGGTCTTGCAACAGGGGCACAACAGAACCCATGGAAAGGTGGGAAGAAAAATGACCCTATAAATTGCCCTCTGACCTCCACACACACACATATCATATGCCAACAGGAAGTTTAAAAGTTTACAATTTGATCCGGACAAATTTACACTAGCAATGTCCAGAAAACAAAAATACTTGCAGCTGGCCACATTTTAGGTGTTTATGACCTTAGCTATCTTCAGTGAGCTGTCCCAGAGATCTAAGGCCTACAAGGTAACCCCTGGTAAATCCATAACAGACTCAAATCTGTGTCAAAGATTTACTTGACGTCAGGCAGTGACCTATTGACCTGTCTAAAGACTCACGGAGCGGCTACCTGAGTTAGGGGTAGAGGTCATCTCTTACTCTTTGAGACCCAGGAGGAAGGCTCAGGGAGAATGCCAGGCTACTGGAGGGTAAAGGAAAGGTAAGGTGTGTATGAAAATGTCAGGGATAAGCAGAGGCAGAGCCTTGTACAGAGTAGAAGAGGACAGGGAGACAAGCACTGGGCAGAGACCAGGGGACTGTGTATGTTTGTGGGGCAGGCTGGATCTAAGATCTCTTACTACGTCACCGCGGAGGAATTTTATCTCTGAACTGCAGGAACCTTATAGGGCAGAATACATTCCTTATGGCTATGGCTTAACACAAAACAAAACATTTACTTAAAAAAACAAAAACATGCCGGGCTGTGGTGGCGCACACCTTTAATCCCAGCACTTGGGAGGCAGAGGCAGATGTATCTTTGTGAGTTCAAGGCTAGCCTTGTCTACATGATGAGTTCCAGGACCGCCTGGGCTACATAGTGAGACCCCCCTCCCCATCTCAAAAAACAAAAAATACAAGTGGTAGCTGCAAGCAGTCTGAATAGTGGTAGCGGAAGCAGTAGTCTGTCATGACTCACACGGTGGTGACATGAACCATGTGTGTCCACATGTGGACACACACGGATCCCCACGGACTCCAGGGACTAGAGACGGCACCAAGAGGATGGAGCCCCAAGTCCCACCTGGATGACTTATGACTTACTCTGCTGAAAGCCCATCCCTGGACCCCTCCTCCCCAGCACCTGCCTTCATCCTGGTCCCTTGGCAGCAGTAGGCAGGTGGGTTTGAGACCCCTGGCAACATCTTAATCCTAGTACCTGAGGCCAGGGGAAACTGCTAGGGTCTTAAGTACGGTTCCGTGAGGAGGTCCCCAGGGGAGGCCCACTTACAGAACTTCGGGGGACAACACCCTCTCCTCCAGCCCTGCCCAGAACTCAGCTGGCCACAGAGCTCCTGGACACAGAATGAGGGCGTGTAGGGCTTTATTGGCTCCAATCAGGCATGTGGAGTCAGTGCGGGGCTTGTGGCTGCTCCTGTGATCTGCCTCATGTCTTCTCTCACGGGTCTTCAGGGCCCTTGGGCTGCTGCAGCTGCCTCCCTTCCTCCCTCATGACGCCAGCTGGGGCCGGAAGTAGGGATTTGGGTGGCAGTCTCTCACCCTGGACCACGCACGTTTCCCCATAGAAGAGAAAACAGGCCTGTGTATGTGAGCCAGCCCTGCTGGGGGGAAGGGGCACATGGTTAAGTGGCTTCAAGAGTCATAGATTTGGTGGCTGCGGTTGGGCAGACTATGGCTCTGGTGGCTTGAGTGACCTGAATGACCCTGGTGACTCTGGTGGCTGGAGTGACCTGGATGACCCTGGTGGTTTGAGTGGCCCAGATGACTCTGGTGGCTTGAGTGACCTGGATGACCCTGGTGACTCTGGTGGCTGGAGTGACCTGGATGACCCTGGTGACTCTGGTGGCTGGAGTGACCTGGATGACCCTGGTGGTTTGAGTGGCCCAGATGACTCTGGTGGCTTGAGGGACCTGGATGACCCTGGTGACTCTGGTGGCTGGAGTGACTTGGATAACCCTGGTGGCTCAAGTGACCTGGATGATGACCCTGGTGGCTGGAGTATACAGGATGACTTTGGTTGCTTTGGTAGCTCGAATGGCTACGCTGGTTTTGGTGACCATGGCGACTCTGGCTGTGGACACTGTGTGTTTGGTTGGAACCAGCTATGGTGGTTTCCCGATGAGTGAGGAAATTCCCTTTCAGCTTTATCTCCACCTCCTCCAGAGCCTTCAGCTCTTCCGGGCTGATGTCCCTGGATTCCACATGGCCTACGTGCTGGTATGTCCCGGCGCGTTGCAGCATGGAGTTCGCCAGGTAATGCCCCTTGGCATCGATCTCCTTGGCGCAAGCAGTCACAGCAGCCCATGCGGCATCCTCCATGGACGGGGACTTTCCTGATTCCCTCTGGGTCTCTTTGGTCACCGAGGTCCCAGACACCTTCTGTTTGCTGTTAAAGGCATCTCGGCGAAGAGCCTTGCCGCCTTCTCCGTGTGTGGAGGTGAGGGTCTCCATGTGGATGGTGGTGTTGGCCTCCCCGTGCCTATTTTCATGTGAGGGGCCATAGTTGCTGCCATAGCAGTGGGTGGGCAACCTCTCTTCCGAAAGGCGGCTAAAGTGAGATTTGATCCAGCTGCCATTTGCTCGGCAGGGTTCTGGAGACTCGTCTTCTTCTAAGGCTGTCTTCCTTTTCTTCCTCTGAGCCCACAGCATGAGGCCTCCACCTCCCAGCAAGAGGGCAGTCCCCAGCACCACCTTGCATGATGGTCGCTGGAGGAACCCGAAGAAGTCCTCCAGGGCCCCAGGCCTCACGAAGAGCTACGAGCACACTGGGAGTGGCGGAGCCCAGGTGGTATGGTTCATGCTTGAAAGGGCCGGAGCCCTGGGGGTGTCTGGCAGGCAGGCCCCTGCCTCACCCTCCCTAGTATGCCCTCTGACACCTCAGCAATGAACCCCATTGTGAGGAAGGCAGAGGGTGGGGGTGGGGAGTGAGGGGGTGGGGAGATGAGGTGGGGGGATGAGGTGAGGTAGCACATGCAGTTGTCTGTCACGCGGTGGTGACATGACCCACGTCACCTAGTTTGGCAAGCTTTATGGAAGGGTTCTCCTGCCCTCAGTGGAAAGACGCGTCATCCAGCTATGAGACTCTTCTGCCTTCTGCTTGCAGCGCGTTCTTCGGCTCTGTTCTCACTTTTCTGTCTTTGGTTTCCCTCCCTTCTCATTTAATGGCCCCCAGAGCACAGAGGATAGTGAGTCAGCGTGGCCATGACAAACTGGGACCCCCTTAGCTGAACTGGCACCCATCCCTGGTCAATAATGCCCGAAGGACCGGTCTCTGCTGCCAGCACTATATATAATCATCTACTACAGCCCTAGCTCCGTTACGGGAAAGAGTGCAGAAAGGAAAGGCCTGGGAAGGAGCTCATTCTGGAACAAGATGAGGTCACAATTGAGAGCAGATAGGACAACCATCAGGCCCCAGGGCCTGGGGCCATTCCAGGGTAAGCTACAGCTTGCCTGAGTGATAGCCTGAAGATCAAGATTTTTGTTTTTTTGTTTTTCAAGACAGGGTTTTTCTGTAACAGCCTTGGCTGTCCTGGAACTCACTTTGTGTGGGGCCATCCCCCACATTTATTTACCCCAGGGACTCTTGAGGAATGAGGAATAAGAGACTTAGTTAGAAATAGAGGGGAGAGAAACAGAGAGATACTCAGGATAGACTCAGGTGGGCCTGGATCCTTAACCACTGGCCCAGAACTTTATTCCAAAGGTCTATTTATAACAATGCCAAGGGGTGGAGCAAAAGGCCTCCCCCTTGCTAGTTACAGTCAAGTGTAGACCCTTACAAACACCTATACTCAGGCCTGCGGTCCAATCAACCTCTTATACAGTCTTGCTGGGTACAGGCATAGGAAACCAAGTGGGCTACAACTTTATAAACTAAATTTACCTCAGACCCACAGAAATCCATCAGCTTCTGCCTCCCAAGTGCTGGGATTAAAGGTGTGGGCCACCACACTCAGCTAAAATCCAGATTTTTTGCCCCTGGTAAATAAGCATCGTGAAGTTTTGAGTAGGTAGGCTGGCTAGATTCCTGTATAATCCTAAGCAATTCCTGTGTATTTGGAAACAGGCCTGGGCTATTGTTTCCCTCAAGGCATGTAGCACACTCAGAAATGCCCAAATGGTCCTTGAAAAAAGTTGTGTTGTTTGGGACTGGAGAGATAGCTCAGAGGTTAAGAGCACTGGCTGCTCTCCCAGAGGTCTTGAGTTCAATTCCCAGCAACCACATGGTGGCTCACAACCATCTATAATGGGATCCAATGCCCCCGTCTGGCATGCAGGCATACATGTAGCCAGAGTACTCATATACATAAAATAAATAAACCTTAAAAAAAAAAAAAAAGCCGGGTGGTGGTGGCCTTTAATCCCAGCACTCAGGAGGCAGAGGCAGGCAGATGTCTGTGAGTTCGAGGCTAGCCTGGTCTAAAAAGGGAGTTCCAGGAAAGCCA